GATGCAGCGGCTCCGACAGATGTTGTAACAAACCAATTAGCAGAGAACGGGTCATTTCATTTGGGTGCTCCTGTAGTGCAGCGTCGGGTGTGTTTAGATTAGCAGTTTATAGCTTTATACTATGAGGCTAACGGGGGCCAGTCTGCGTGTGTTTGCTACTTAAGATATGGTGCATGTGCAACAGTTTCATATCTCAAAACCACAATATTATTGTGATGTAGTGAATTTTATGCAGAGAAATACCTGAAAATTGAAGGTGATGCCCAATATGTTACTAATCACTGCCTTGAGGCTCCTGCAGTCAGACTCAAAGGGATCCGATGGCGTTTATAAAATAAACAATATTTAATATGAAAACAAAGTATGCTCCATCACTACAGCCCCGATCATTCGCTGTATCCAGAAACTAAAAGATGAAGGTCGTATAAACCTAAAGTTATAAAGAGAAAGGGGGGGGGGGGGCAAGATGCAAAACGCATTATATACAGTTGCAGAAACATCCAAAGTGAATGATAACGCAACACACGACGCAGCATAGTATGGCAGGAAACTCTGCGGGTATTATTCACTCTAGATGTGACAGGCGTTTTGTTTTTTTGTACGTGGCAGCTCCGTTGTGACTTGGCTTTTTCGCAGCCTGTTACACTAATGATCCTTCGGGGACGGCGGAGGGTTTGGGGATCGCTGGTTCTCTCATCACCCACCAGTAAACCTCTCGGCCCGCTCGCTGCCGAGCTCTCGGAGCGATTGTATTTACAGCTGCTCCCGACCTACGGCCCTTCACCTCCTCTCCCCTAAATGAGAGGAGACATGGGCCGAACAATGAAACTGACTGAGGTTTCCACTAATTCACAGGATATTTTTCCTTTCGCTGCACCCCTGGGAGACGGGGCAGAGGGGGGAGGAAGCGGGGAGAGGGGGGGGGAGGGGGGGGTACCCTACAGTCCCTCTCTGCTCACTCCTTATTGGTGCGTAGGGAGGTTAATTGGATTGCTTTCGTTAGGCGACCCAGCGTTACCCCTGCACACGGTCACACACACTTTTCATATGCATATGTGTGTGTGTGTGTCTGATATGAGTTTACGTCTCTATGCTTGTGTTCAGGCATTTGCAGATGGATTTAACTTTGAGTGTGTGTTCTTCTGTGTGTGTGTGTGTGTGTGTGTGTGTGTGTGTGTGTGTGTCCATCTGGGCTGCTACAGCTCACGAGGGAGTCAGACTGGGAAGTGCGTGAGGAAGTTTCAACAACACTTCAACAGAGCTGCTGCTACTGCTCTCCAGGGACTCGGATATCAGTCAGAGTGTCGGAAGTCAAATCTCAACTCTTTTTGTCAAACTCTGTTTTGGGATTTTAACAAACTTTACAGTCTCAGCAGTGCAGCCTGAGGTTATACACAACCGGCCGAACCTCGGGGTCCACATTTCTTCTTTGTCCTCGGATCAATGTCCCAGTAGGCGTCCCCACGTCTAGCTTTGTTTCTGAACACAGAACATAAGTGAAGGGCAACTGGGGCAGAAATAAAACCCAGGGAAAGAACTGGTATTGCATTATCCATTAAGGTCGCCACCTTTTGTTGTGTGGAAAAACCTGGACACTCGGACGTTGTAAAAAGGTTTTTCATGACGTCCTCCCTGTCCATCGCTCCGTCTTTTCACACACTGAAACTCTTGCTAGCACCTGCCTCAATCCTCTCTGCCCGAATCCTGGATGTAGATGGTTGCAGCAGTTGCTAGGTAATAAGGGAAACTTTCATATTTCTTCCAACTATCAAATAAAAGTATAGGCATGGCCATTGGCTGATAATAATAATAATAATAATAATAATAATAATAATAATAATGATATTAATAATCATGCGTTTACAGACACAGGATTGGACATAACCAGGAAGAAAGTAGAAAAGCAGTAGAAGCAAACAAATGAGGTTTTATTTGAAACAATTAAATTAAAAAGTAAATTTGTTACAAAACCAGGACAATTCATGTCCCGGGAAAGAATATTAATTTTCCCGGACAGTCGCTCAAAAAAAGGAACAATCCTGGGAAAACCAGGATGAATGACAACCCTCGTATCCATCCATCTGTCCATTACCTATAACTGCTGTTGGAGCCTGGTTCAGCAGAACTACTGCAGCAAGAAAAGGCTTATGATGTTTAAAGAACAACAATCAAAGTTCAGTTTAGGGGGAAAAAAAAAACATTTGCAGGTGTCAAGAGTGTAACACTCAAAAACTCATACAAAGTGCTTTAAAACAGGAAAAGGGAACAAATACAGAATATCTCCTGGGAAATCACCCAAATTGTTCCAGCTTGTACAGAAAATGTTGTACAGAGTTTTCAGGCTCATTCGGCCTCCGACAACAGTATTTTGAGACGGCTAATAACAGGAACAGAGAGGGAAAGCCGTGTTCAAGCCAAGTTTCAAACCGGGCCAGTGCGTACAGCGTCCTGCACGCCGAGGCTCCAGACCGTGTTTGTCTGTAATGTAAGAAAAAGAAAGTTTGTGTGGAGGGTCAGATACGACATAGCAGCACTGGTAACTCAACCAGACAGGTAAATGATACTAGACGATAAAAATAAGGGTCATAAAGTGTCCAATGATCTTAATTAAAGCCAGAGTGTCCTGTCTCTCGCGCTGAACAACAGTTTTGAAGGCAGCATTTGTCACGAGAGGCACATTGATGAGCATTTTATTTACCTGCTGTCCTCGTGGGATATCGACTCAGAGACACGCGCACCTTTGTAGCCCAGAAGACAAACACAGGCTGCCATGGCTGTTACCACAGCGCAAACATCAACATTGATCTGTGAGCGCGCGGCCAAACGAGTCCTGTTTGTTCCGAGTGCACCTGTGTGAGAGAAGATGACGTTGTCGTGTCGACTTTTAACGGCTTTTCTTTCGATATTTGCTTTACATAATGAATTAAACCACAATCTCCGTAATTATCAAACACATCTGGCCCCAGTTTAACCACAGAAATACTAATAACCTCAGTTCTGGAGTCTGGGTATGTTCTGGAAATGGGAGGCGTGTGTCGTGATCTAAAAATAAAACGGCCTGACAGGCAGAGAAGGGGATAATGGATCATTTTATAATAACAGCTGACCTTTTAACTGCTCCCATCGCTGTTTGCTTGTGAAGTCGTGTCAACTACAACATTTTCCACGTCCCTGTTAGTCCAAAGTGTCTAATGATTTCTTGTTTCTGGGAACGTTCCCCCACTACAGGATCCCATTTGGATGCTGTTCCCCGTACCACAACAAAAGTTCCCACTCCGACTCTTGTTTGTAAAACTGTCGATGGCTCAGTGACTTTTGGCTGTTTACTACATTGTGTAAGAGTGTTAGTTTTACAACAGTTCTGCTGTTGTTGGCCTTCGACAGCATGTGTCGCACATGTGCAGGAATACACGTGTCTATTAAAAACTGCAGGGGAGAGAACAGGGACGAGATGAGCTGCATTTTACATGTTTTGGCAGATTTCAAACAGTAACTGCTCTGCACTTAAAGCTCAAGTCTTGATTTAGCACAACTGTTTCTGCCCAGCTGTCCACAGGTTCCACCCTCCGCTTTAGGCCCTGCTGTACTGTACTGTACTGTATATAGTTCAATCAGAGAAAACAAAGTACAGATGTTCTGCTTCGGCAACTTAAAACCCTCTGGCATGTGTCTATTCATCAGTGAGTTCAGCGAGCATGGTTTATTAATAGTAACGTGACGTCAGACTTAAAGCTGAGTTTATACTTACATACTATGCCTGTGGTAAAAGGTGTTATTTGTTGAGCCATAAGAAGATATATTTATGGTTTTAAGAACCAAAAACCACCAGCCAATCAGAAGAGAGGAGGCTCTGAGCCTCTCTTCTGATTGGCTGACTGTTTTCTGAGTGTAAACTATAGCATATTTCAAGTAAACACTCAAATCCTGCAAGGTTTGGATGGTGGGTCCAGGTGGGCGGGGCTTGGTGACTGCTTTGTTGTGACATCACAAAGTTACAGGAAGTCCTGACGGCTGGTTTTAAGGCTCAGTTTCTGAATACAGGCTGTGTGCATTTCTCTGTGGACTGAGGCTTTGATACTTTCACAGTATTAATATAGAAGCTAGACCTGATCTATAATCACACTACACATGGACAGAGACTTTTAGACTATATGGGAGCTTTAAGGACAAAAATGAATGCATCGATAATAAATGTGGACCCTAAAGATTTAAAAGATATTTGGTGAGGAGCCAGCTGATGAAATTTAACTACATTTACCATGATAAAAAAACTATAAGGCGAATGTTTCCTGACTGAACATTTGAATAAGATCACTGAGCTACTTCCTGATAGACTTCTGCACGTTCTTGGTTGGTGTTTATGTAACCTCTGCCGTACTTTCTCCTGCACAAGTTCACTTATGTGAGTCTCTGGCTCTGTGCCACCTCAACAGTGCATTGTATAATTCCCTCATAATCACACACGGCATAGACATAGCCAAAAAAAAAATCCGACTTCAATGCATCCACATAAGGTTTATACCTTTTCCCCGTAAACACAAAAGACGTCAGCCTCAGCAGTAATCTATCCTCGTGTTCCCTGGAAATGTGATGAAAATCTGCCACACCTCAATAAAAAGAGACTTAGGGTGTTTTTTGTTTTCCTAGCTTTCGGTCTCTCACTCTGGGGGGGGTCTTAATGAGCACAAAAGCTTGGGGAGGCCTTTACCTGGGCTGAATCCAACATGGGATAAAGCTCTGTTGTGCCCTCAGGCCACACATACAAACACAGCGGTGGCTGAAAACAGCCGCTGCCTCACAGACTGCTGAGTAAAAAAAAAAGAAGCTGCCAATCTGAGGATTACTGCGCGGCTGCTCTTCACCGTGACTGACTGGAAACCTGGAGGGAGCTGTCATGTGTGTGTGTGTGTGTGTGTGTGTGTGTGTGTGTGTGTGTGTGTGTGTGTGCAGGTGACAGCCATACTGTTTTTCTAACCCACGTGTTCTTTGTCCACCTCCAGAGCTGTGTGTACGGCGAGAACAGGACGTCCATCCAGTGCACCACGCCCTCGCTGGCTAAACTGGCCCTGCAGCCGCCGGTGGTCACCAAGGTGGCGTTTGTCCTGGACGGCTACTCCACGGATCAGTGGGACCTCATCTACGTGGAAGACCCCCTTTTCCAGGACCCCAAGCTCACCTCCAAGGACAACAAGAGCATTGTGGAGCTCAAGGTGAGAGAGCGTTCACAAACAAACGTAAACGTCCTCAGTCTCCTGCGGTCCAGCTGCAGAAACAGCAAAGGTCAGAGGTCAGAGGTGTGGGGGGGGGGGGGAGGGCTGTGGACCTGCAGCCTCTGGTTAAAGCTTCAAATAGCAAAACACTGCAGGAACAGGTTCAGAAACACAAAAACACCTGCAGAAACTCAAGTCCTCCGGTTTAATGTTCGTTGAGAAAAAGAAAAGAAAATCACAATTTTATGTTTGCGTAACGAAAATTCTCAGAAGCGCAAGAAAGCGCTTCCACAGAACACCCTCCTGCTGTCGTGCTGCACCCTGCGCAGGTGTGCGAGAGGTTGGTGCTGGTAGTTCCCTCCTCGTGGAACAGCAGAACTTTAACAGAATGAGACGGATCCACAGTTTTGGCCCGGGTCGACGTTTGATTCTGCCGGTCGCGCTGCTCTCGGGCGCACCGTTCGCACGTACAGCCGTATGTACGGTCCCGGTCCAGTTGGGAAGGAAACAATACTGAAAGAAAAACAGGAAGTGGAGTCTGTTTCCATCGTTTACACCCACAGCCCCCCCCAAGTCCTCCTCACCTCCTACACCCTCCCGTGTGTTCTCTCCTCTCTCTCTCTCTCTTCTCTCTCTCTCTCTCCCCTCTCTCTCTGTTGACTTGTATTGTTCTGGCTGCCGAGGTCAAAGCTCTTGACCATATTAATGCAGCTTTTCAAACAAGCCACCTCGGTCCCAGAGCCTGTTTCAAGAACACAATGAAATACATATTTCTCCTTCTTTCTCTTTTTTTTTTTGTTTGGTTTTTTTTTTTGTTTTTTTGGGGGTTTTTTTTGTTGTTGACTGCAGCTCGACGGTTTGTGGCAGCTGTGCTGAACCTCTCGCAGGGGATCCTGGCTGTTCTTTTCTTTTTCCTCCTCCTTCTTCTTTCTCTCTTTTCCCAGACATGACCTTGGCCCTGATGCTAACTCCACCACCAACCCCAACCTCTACCCCTCCTTCATCCCTCCCCACAGCCCAGACCAACCCCCAGTTTTTACCCAGGGGGAGGGGGGGGGTTGGTACCAGGCATCATACCGAGACAGAACACATTTAATGCCATCTGATAACGCTGCGCAGCCATGGCCTCTAGGAGAGGGCAAATGCTGGGGCTCATTTAATGCCATCTGATAACTGCAGCCCCAAAATGGCTGCCAATAACAGATTTAAAAAAAAAAAAAAAAGAAGAAGAAGAAATATTTAGCTCTTACTGACAGATCCACAGCTGCATGGCACCACATGAAGGAACCGGGCTTTGGCCAGGCCTTTATCGCCGCCGATCAATTCACGGGAGAGTGAGAACGTCTCGCGTCCAATTATCATCGTGACACTTTATTTAGAGTGACTGGTGTCACTGTGACGGCTTTTTAATAACTTTAATAAACGCCCCTCTGCAGCGGGTACAGCATTGTCATACCTACAGCCGGGGAACACACTGAAGTGTGTGTTCGTGTGTGTGTGTGTGTGTGTGTGAAAGAGAGAGAGTGTGGGAACAGGTGCGAGCCTCCACTCTGTGTCAAATTGGAAAATCCCAAGCTGTCACGCAAGGAATGTGATCATTCTCTTTATTGCCTTCTGCTGCACTCAAACAAGTGTGTTTATGTGTGTGTGTGTGTGTGTGTGTGTGTGTGTGTGTGTGTGTGTGTGTGTGTGTGTGTGTCTGTGTGTGTGAGAGAGAGAGAGATAAGGAATCAGAGAAACAAAACTGAATGAGGAGAGAAAGCAAAGGAACAAGAGCGAGTCTGAGAGAAAGAACCAAATGGAGCAGAATCAGACTGTGTTGTTCTTTCACAGATTTTCCCGTCAAACTACACACACTCACTAACTCAGTTTTACACACACACACACACACGCAGTCACGTGGACAATAGCTGTGTGTGTTCCCGGTCTCATCTCTCTCTCTCTCTCTCTGTCGTTCATCCCACTGAGCGTCACGAGACCAGAATAAGTCACTTTGTCACAAGTTCAGTTTCGACTCTCCGCTCCCGATCGCTGTGAATCACGATGAACTCTGCGGAGAAGTGCGACCTCCCGCATCTAGTTTACTCCAGTATCTTCTCTACGCTTTTTCTCCCACCAGATCCGAAGCCCTTCGGTTTTTTTGGATTTCCACTTTGTCCTAAATAAGGCATGACGTTGCTTCTCAAATATGATTGCAGAGGAAAATTCAGTTTGTCAACCAAACACACATTCCACTTATTGCCCTTATAAGTCCTATAAATAAAACAAAAGGCTGAAGACTTTGAAGAGTGTGGATGTTTAGGTAATGTCAGATCGCCTGTGATTCACTGTATATCAGAGTTTAAGGGGGCAATATACGCTTTAGGCCGCTCTTAACTCCCCCCCGCCATCCCCACAGTGGTCAGCTTTGTCCACTCTGAACTTCCTGTAACTTAGTCATAATGTTTTTTAAATAGTGTCTGAAGTTTTGCTTCAGGGTCCAACCGTTACTACCAGCTGCGCTATGATGGAATACACTTGCCTTCAGGTTTTTCTTGTGCCAATTAGTAATTTGATAGACAAAGGCAAATAACAGAGAGGCCCTGTCACACACTGTTTATTGTGCATATTCCAAAAACTGCATGTAACAACAAGTAGCACAAAGCAGCATAAGAGGAGGTCTGACAGCAGAAGTTCATCTGGGCAACGAGGTGAAATCTTCATATGATTCTATTTATTTGATTTAGTTTAATTAAAATTTCACATTTTATTTCGAATTCAGATTTCTCTAACAGTTTGCTCCTTTTGCAGTTTGAGAGCAGTGACCTTTGACCTTAGCTATATCTCTCCGTAATGCTGGTGATCCGGACGCGGCATCTATTTTTTGCAGCTATTGTATTGATTTGAATTGAATTTCCTTCCCTCCTTTTACTCCCCCTTCCCTCCCGACGCAGGGCGATCGGATGGACAGGGAGGCGATGAAGTGTCAGGTTCTGACCGTCTCCAATCACAGCTGCGAGAGTCTGACTCTGGTTGGAAACACTCTGGAGTGCACCGTTCCCACCGAGCTGCAGGCCACCACCGCCAGGGAGCTGCAGGTGGAGGTGAGACACAATCCGCTGTGAACAGACGCCAAGACACAATCATTTGCATGTTATTCTTCATTAAGATACGAAAGGTCTGGTTGTTTTTTTTAATTTGTTCTCCAGAGGACCTTTTATTTTTTTTTGTAATTTTTCCTGATCCTCATGCATGTTGAGAGATTGAGAAAAATAAGGCGTGCGGCGGGTTCAGGAACAGGTGTGTAGCGCAGTAAATACACCTGCGTGCGTTTGCACACACGCATACACACCACCTCTCCATCACCTGTGTGACAGTTGGTCAACAAAAACAAAACTTTAATTAAGAGAGACTTGTTTCCTATAGTGACACCCAGCAATTACACATCCACACCCAAGCGCGCGCACACACACACACACACACACACACACTCCTTGTTCCTCTCAGTACATATCTTGTTCCAGCTTCCTTGCATGTTGACAGGAGAGAAAAGCTTCAGTGTGTGTTCAGTGTTCAGTTTTTGTATTTTTGTGTATTTGTGTGTGTGTGTGTGTGTGTGTGTGTGTGTGTGTGTGTGTGTGTGTGTGTGTGTGTGTGTGTGTGTGTGTGTGTGTGTGTGTGTGTTAAACTGTTTATTGAAGCTGCAGATTAATTTCATTTGCACGGTGGAGAATTAGCTCATTGTCCTTCTGGAGTGAGGAACGTAAGAGAAAATAAATCGTACATAAAAGTAACTTAGTTAACTTTAAAACTTTCTCCCAAATCACTTTTACTCTTTTCTTTTTTCTTTTTTCTTTTTTTGAAGTTATTGAAACCAGTGGAAAAAAAAGCGAAGACTTTCATCCAGTGGAAATTATCTTGTTACAATTTATATGAAAATTCCCCTCTGTTTATATTATGAGGCCCACAGAAGGAATTTCAGCAATAAAAGGATTCATATCATATCACCGCACCTGCTTCTGAGGAGGAAGAGGCTGACTCGCCACACAGCAATAACATAACACACACTGATGATAGATGGGCAGAGTATGCGCCATTTTTTTTATTTGTCACGATCATTTCTTTGTATTTAAATCGACTTATTTCTTTAAATTTCATTATTTTTATTTCCTGTTTTTAATGACATGATCCACAGGTTGACATTGAATTATTAATAACACAATAAAAGTAATGACACGTTCAGCGTGTGAGTTTGTGAGGAAGGCAGTAACGGGATCATTCTGCCGTTGGCCATCTTGAACTCTTCATTCTGCGCTCGGGGACATTCGTGGAAAACACCACATTCCTCCAGCGTTCCAGATCATTTACAGGAAACTTCAATAACTCTCCTGTCCTAATGCAGTCCCTTATAAAAACCAGCTCAGGGAGAGTTTATTACACAGTGTGCTGAGTGAGATGGCTCACCATCCAGCTGTCTTGTCACTTGAATATCAGTCAAGCATCCTCCTGAGTCGTGAGAAGGCGGCGTACAGCGTACAGTATGGAAACGCAACACGCATCATGTCTCATATTAATGATGAAGCCGTTTAAGCAGAAATAAATGTTGACATTCATCAGACTTATAGACTGTGAAAAGAAAACATTCAGTCATATAAAAATCTTGCTTTTACTGACCTCCAGTGGTTTGACCTCCCACCTTGTGGTGATGTACAAGCATATTGCTATTGCTACATAGCTAACATTAGCATTAACAGCTGTTTATTTACCAGTTCACCATCAAACTTCACTCTTTTACTCACTAACAGCTGTCTCCAAAAGCGGAAAGACCAACGTTAACTCTTGTCACGTGAGGTTAGCATGCTAACCAGCTAGCCCCAGCCCGTCTTGTCCCTTTCCGATAGCGACTCACTGTAGCCTCCAATCTGCCCTGTAGACGTAGCGCTGCTCAGCGTATTATAACCTCTTGTCTTGTAAATGCGACAATCACCACCACCCGCTCCCGGCAAGAAACCTCGTTCAGCAGCAGAGAAAACTAACAAATAGCCTTTAACTAGTTTAGCTAGTAAATCTAACAGCCCCACCCAACTTCTTATCAAAATCATTTTAGAAATACAACAAAACTACAAGCTAATGCAAAAGAAAAGTGCAAGTCACATATTGAGTTCCTTATGAAATTTAGCATCTTTTGTTTGCAACACAGACCCCTCCAAACATCCTAATAGGTTATAAGAGGGTTGATGAAAAAAATATATCTAGCCTTTATGATACGAGCTAATATTAGATGCCGAGCTTCAGACATCCTCATGTCGTCCTTCAAGATAATATCCAGTGGTCACCCTCTGGCAAAACACCGGCGTGCCCCAGACCAGACGCTATCGGCCTCATCGCTGTTGACTTGTGAACTGGCCTTCAGAAGAAAAGCCTTTATCTCTGGGGAGGGTCAGCCAATATCCCTTAGCTCCATGAACCTACACACACACACACACACACACACATTCATATATCCCCCTACTTCCAGACATGCCCACATTGTCTCATTTATACACAGTCATGCACACACACACACACACACACACACACACACACACACACACACACACACACTGTCCCATCTGCAGCAGCAGGCAGCAGTAGAAACCTCATTTCCACTAAACCTAATAATGGCACAAGCAATATCACTGATGTAATCTGCCTCCAGACTGTGGCAACAGACTGATGCATGTGTGTTTGGGTGTGTGTGTGTGTGTGCGTGTGTGCGTGTGTGTGCTTATTGCATACCATATGTCTGAATGCCAGCTCCATAGCTTTTAAATGCTTGTGTGTACACCATATCTGCCATGCATGACATACTGTATGTGTCATCTGCACCGTGCTGGTGAATGTTTATGTAGCATCTGCTACATATAGAGCAGTGTGGCTGTTTTAGGACAGTGACACCTTCTGTTCCTTTAAAGTGCTGCAGTTTTAAGAAAACAATATTTAGTCAGTCGAACAAAAACTTAAATGAAGTCGTTTTGTTTATTAATAATAATAAAAATGTTTAAAACGTTGTCTAATTATAGCTACTGATTGCTCTCGGTGTGTGGTAACTCCACTACTCACTGCAGCTGACGGCAACATGTAATAAATTATTAAAGTTTAAAGTGTATACAGTATGCACCTGACCTCTGACCTGACCCCCCCCCTCCCCCCTTTCAGTGGCGGCAGGCGGACTCCATCAGGCACCTGGGCAAGGTGACGCTGGCGCAGGAGCAGGACTACACCGGCCTCATCGTGGGCTGCGTGTGTGTCAGCTTGCTGCTGCTGCTGCTGGGAACTCTGCTGATGTGGAGGAGGAACAAACACATCGATGGTAAGGGCAGACGTGTTGTCATGTTGTGGTTGGTTCAAAGGGTCAAAGGTCAAAGTTCAGTTCACACAGAGGCTTCTAAACTCAGCTTTAATGTTAGGCAGTGACCCGCTGCTTCATTAAATGTTTTCAGCACACAGGTTTGGCAGAAATATTTACAAACTGAGGGAATTTTAGATATTTTTGCAGGAAGGTAGCAGCTTAAGTCAGAAGCAAAACCAAAAATCCAAACAGGAAAATATATGAATTATTAAAAATCCATCAAAAAGAATAAAAATATTTGAAGCTTTAAAGATGCAAATTATTTAAAACAAGCAGTGTAGGTAATATACCTGTGTAAAAAGTAAATGAAATAAGAGATATGACAAAATTAAGATATGAAGTCAGTGACAGACAAGTTCTATGTATATTTATATAAAGTAAAGTAAAAGCATTAAGTGTCGTGCTCTGATTTTATTACAAATCAAATCAGCTTCAGGAACTGCATATTTAGAACAAGTTGAATTGTGTGTGTGTGTGTGTGTGTGTGTGTGTGTGTGTGTGTGTGTGTGTGTGTGTGTGTTTGCGTACTTGCCACCTGAGTTCAGTGCGTCTTTTCTAACCTGTGTGCATGAGTATCTGCTGGGTTTTGTTTGTGCCTGGTGGGTTTACAAGACGTTTGTGAGCGGGACGCACTGGTGGAAACGCTTCGCCTTTCTTAGTAATTCTCTCCTCCCCCCTCCCCCCCGCCAGCCCCCCTCTACCCCCCTCCCCCCTGTTATTTTTTTTCCTCATCCTTATCTGTTGCGTTTTTCTCCTGTCACTTCCCTCTCTCCCTCCAACCCTCCCTCCCTGTCTCATCATCCTGTCATCTCTCCTCTTGCACTTTTCTTATCCTCTTCCTCTACGCCCCCACCCCACCCCCTACCCCCTCCCCTCTCTGTCTCTAGATCTGTCTGAGGTGTGGTATGATGGCCGGGGTCACATCCAGCATCTGGACAGGCTGGCTAACGCGAGGAGCGTCAGCCCCACTAATGAAATGGTCTCCCACGAGTCAGTCGACTATAGAACAACCCTGCTGGAGGGTACGTCAACCAGATAAGCCCCTCCCCTTCCCACCCACCCAACCCCCCACCTGACATCTTCTTTTGCCCGTCCCGCCTCCCATCTACCTGCTTCCCTCCCTGTGGGGCTGAACACTATGCTAGCAGTGCATGCCTTACATGTTGTGAACTAACAGAAGTTGTATTTATTTTATTTTTTTGGATCAACCTCAACCACTGGATCAGTCCTCCAGTGTAGATCATGATAATCCCAGTGTCACCACTCCCCGCTCACTGTGGGGCTCTAACACTGTCGTAGCTGACAGTCAATTAATTCATCTCACTTTAAACTCACGTTCCTTCGCAGAGTTGTAACTCAGCCATGAAAAAACATATTAGCACAACTTATTCTTCCCTTGACTGTAGAATCTCCATCGCTCATAACGGCTTCACGTCTATAAGACCGTGCTCTTCTTCTCAACTAGGATCACCGTCAGGCGACTCTACTAAAAACTTTGATGTAATCTGAGTCACCTGTGGTTCTGGTTCTCTTAGCGTGGATCCTGAGGGCGTGAAGGGGGGGGGGGTGGGAGGGGTCCTTGTATTATGATCCTGAGAATGATGGGCAATTTTCCTGCTGCTTAAATGTGACTTGAAAGACTTAAAATCTGAGACGGTTACTAATGAAGTGCTGCTCGTCCTCAGGGGGAGTTTGGGTGCACGATCATGAGCTGATGGTCCGTATCAGAGCTCTGTCTGCTGCTCTGGCCTTTTAGAGAACATTTGGATCATTCTGCTCCTAGTTTTCTCTGCGTTATTTCTCCTTTCACTAACAGCATCAGAAGAGAAATCAGAAACGTTGTTTTTCCAGCTCTGCCGGCCTCCATCAGAGTGTCAGGTTGCTCTCCGCCTTTGTAGCCATCCCTCTCTGATCATGTAACAGACCTTGACCTCTGGAGGCCTTGCTGATACAGTCACTGACCTTTGACCCTCCCTCCCTCCCTCCCTCCATCTCCTTTTGGCTCTGCAGATCAGGGCACCGACAGGCCCGAGACGTGCCGCGCAGCTCCTCCCATCTACGGAGGCAACGGCGAGCTGCTGTCTCCCAGACTGGGGGTGCTGGGTGGAGGAATGGGGATGGGTCTCGGGATGGAGGGCGAGCTGGTGTCACCTCTGCTGATGGCCCCGGTCCACATAGATCCGTCCTGTCTCCACCCGGACCTGCTGACTGAGGTGCAGCACGTGGTGATCGCCAGGGAGCAGCTGCTGCTTCACCTCAACCAAGTCATCGGCAGAGGTCAGTCCCACAAAGTCTCAGTAGCTCATTTTTTAAATATTACACATCGCTGCGTCTTTCCTGGTAATATTAAGTGAATCAGACATTACTGTTTCAGCATTGTTCTCTCCAGCGTTTTTATTGTTGGAGTCATTTTTTTTCATGGTGTTGTTGATGCTAGCGACCCACTTCTTTCTCCACTTATTCTAAATACAAGGGAAATGTAAAATGCATCATTTCCCATGCGCCCAAAGGATTGTTGCCAGGAAGGAGCTACTAGCTGCTAAAATGCAAAATAAAGTAGCAAAGCAGATATTTATTGAGCTGGAAATGATACGTGTCGAGGCTTTTAAAGCAAACCATAAAAAAAATAATAAGTGCAAGTGCAGAAACGACATCAGAAGATGTTCATGATGCGTGACAGTGATGCAGTGACTATCAGCTGTGTGCAATTGAGAGCATCATAAAGCAGATTATAGCTTTAACCCACAGATACAAATGGATGTGCATAATCATGAATAACGATTAAAAAACTTCCACGTGAAAGATTGTCTGACCAGTCAATGTTTGGGTGCAGCTACCTAATGTGTAATAACACTGATATAGCACAGCACATAGCGCACATCCATAATAATAATGTTAAATAATAAGCATCGAAATCAAGAATTAAAAGCTGCTTTATATAAGTATGTTTTGAGCAGTGTTTTAAGTTGGGGCAGCGATTGTCCTCTTCTACCACACACTGTTATTACTTCGATGCTGCACATTAGGACTTATACTGTGATCAAAACAGTAATGCATATGTTTTTTCTTCACATACTTACACTGTGTAGATATTCATATTCTTGCAGCAGACTTTTTAATTGTTGGCTGTTGCTGTCGGCAACAGTTCTGCTGTTGTTGCTCAATTCATCGATGAAACATCCAGTTCAATCTGCATCTCAAATGTTCTTTTTTTTGTTTTTTCTTACCTTAGTTGCTAAATAGAGAAATAATACAAAATCTGATTTCCTCACAAACGTTCCTGGTGGGATTGTAACTGATGTGGAAGTGATACTATCGTCCAACGAGCTTAGATTTAATTCAGGATTTATGTAAAGCTATACAAAAGCTAAAGTCGCCCACAAAGAGCTTAATTGCCTGCTTTATCAAACCGCGAGCTTGACATGCAGACACTAAAAATCGCCTCATATTGTGGCGTTTAAGTAGGTGGCTCAGACCCTCAGATCGAATTCAACATCAAGAGAGAGAGAGAGAGAGACCTCACAAACCCCTCCGTGTCACAGAAAACAGCCGTCTGCCCCCTCAGCTGAATTATCCCCCCCAAGAAAAAGGAGCCTGGATTTTTTTAAAGTGGCGTAGGATGATTTGTTCACAGCTAGTATTCCCAGGGTCCATTGTTGGGAGACGTAATCCAACACCCTCAGCCATCTGCGAGGACGTGATAGGAGAACGCCGCGCTCATTTTATTCCTGCACCACCACCAACCACCCCCCCCCCCCCCACCCCCCCCCCCCACCCCCCCCAGTCTGGGGCCGAGACCTCATGTCTTAAAGAAGAGATATAATTCAATAAAATGCACAATAACTCAATGGGGTTTGGCATTAGGCTATTAGCTTGTGTGGGGTATTAATGAATAAAGCTTCATACTGGGTTACTTGGGGGAGGTTTTAGTGTGAGGGTGATGGTAACTTGGTGTGAAAACTGGGGCACCAGCGTGCATAAAAAGCTGCACACACTACATGAAATCATCTCCACTGCCTCTGCTCCAAACTTCAATTTTTAATAGGTAAACAGTGGACAGAAATATTTTTATGTGATTTGTGGAGCCGCTGTGATCGCGGAGCCAACTGGCAGGATGCATGCTCTTAATCACAGCGGCAGAGGCTTCGATAAGCCAAGATATAAATGAAGTATGCTGACTGCACAGAATCCAAAAATGGCCCCAACAGCGTTTTCTCTGCAAGCAAACTGGGTAATTTAGACGGTTGCCATACCGTTCGTTTCCATGTATGGGCAAGATTTTAAAAAAACTAAAAAAAAAGCAAGTAGCAACAAGACGCGGAGCAGGAGATATGATCAGAGGCAGATTCAGGGGTCACGGGGCCAAGGAACTGGAATCTGGTTGTCAGTGTGCGCTTGCGATGCCAAAATAAATGTGCATGGTCTAGTGTTTGTCATGGTGGAATCAGATGCTGCAGCTTGGACCTCAGCGGTCCTGGTCAGCTGTTATTATAGTATCAGCAGTTAAATCAGTGGCTTATAGGGCACACAGGTAGGTAACTCTGTGGCAGAGTTTCCACTCAACACAACAGAGACGGGGCGGCACGGTAGCTCACCTGGTAGACTGCACCATGTGCTAAGCAGAGGTGCAGTGTCTCTCTCTACCGTCGCGGAGGCAGTAATGCTGCCTGCTGCCTCCATCGTGGTCCTACTTTGCAAAGAATGCATATGACGATGTTTTGGAGGATGACAACTGATTGAAGGGAGGCGAGGGCCAGACCCTCCCTCTCAGGTGAAAAACTCACCACTGACAGTTAGATTCAGACGCGTTGCCCCCGACAACGCAAGTTCAAACCAAACAAACACAAGAAATCTGAAGTATCGATGATTCTTGCCAGCTGACCCGGCTGCTGCTGTTCACCTGCTTTGGACCTCATCATCAGTGGGACTGAAGTTCACCGTCTCTCTGAGAGGCTTGTTTTGTGTGTGTGTGTGTGTGTGTGTGTGTGTGTGTGTTTGAAAGGTCTTTACAGGTTTGAACAGGAGCTTTTGAAATCCGTGATTGTGACTAATACTAATGCTGCATCGTGTTGTAACCTGCAGGTCACTTCGGTTGTGTTTTCCACGGAACTCTGCTGGAGCCGGACGGGCAGAAGCAGCACTGTGCCGTCAAGTCCCTGAACCGTGAGTACACGTCACTATGAATGTATAGAGGACAAGCTCAGCTATCACCTGTGGGTTTTTGTTTTTCTCACAAATTTTCATCACAATACTTTTTCCGAAACCAATTTTATTCTATTCCAAATCCGTTTTAACAAAAAGAAAATGACAATACACAGCAATCAGCATCATTGGTCCAAGCATGCTGCATGCTTATTGGCTCACTGACACTGATGAGATTTACCTCGGTCGGTCGGTCCATAAAAGCATCGAAGTTGGATACCTGTGTGTGTGTGTGTGTGTGTGTGTGTGTGTGTGTGTGTGTGTGTGTGTGTGTGTGTGCGGCAGCTTTGTATTACGACCCCAAATGTAGTATATTTAGTGTTGTTGCTTTTACAGTGAGCGAATGGGAGGAAATGGGAGGAAATGGGAGATTGCTGTAGTTATTTCTGATTCCAAAGTAAATTTGAAATCACGAATTGTTTTTTTGGCTCTGGAGCACCAGAAACATTTGCTATCGCAGTCTAACGTTGCTGTTGCTGTATCATGGGAAAGCGTTTTTAGTTCATGCCTTGTCATAAACTGAGGTTTAACAATGTGTACACGTCCTCCGGAGGAGGAAATCTCACTTAAAGCAACTTTTTATTTATATTTTCTCTTATAAGAACAGACCTCATACAGTTTAGAATCGAACGCTGCCTGTTATTCACATCCTCCCGAGAACACACACTCAACACACTCTCCCCTTGTCCAAACATATTCACGTCCAGCCGTAATTATTGCATCGTACATCTGCTTATATTTCATACTTATTGCATGATATCACAACGCTGCAATAGCATTAAGGATCTCATCTCGTCAGAGCCTCGAATCCCTTTTCAGCTTGAGATGATGGTGATGAATGAGCGTCTGATGGTGAGGACGGCATTAGGATCCTGTCTAATCGTGTAACCTGTCAGTCGGGTCAGGGAGATTGATGCTGGAACGATACGGAGGAAAGACCCCCGCGCAGTCGCGAGGAGCCACCGACCCCGGTGGGAGGGGATGAGCTCTGTCTGCTGGGGTTTAGTCCTCTGGGATTTGAACCTTTTATTAGGTTTCCTAGGCCGTCGTCTCATTGTTTTTGTTCTTCTTTTGTTATATTTTAGACCTTGAGTCGAGGCTTTTATGCTAATTTAACTTTTACTATGAGAAGCAGTTGAAAGGAAAATGACCAAAGGCACATGATGGATGATGACTGTATGATAACCCCACCCCCACCACCACCACCACCACCACTACCACCACATGACCTCACTCTCTTTCCTAACTTTCAAATCAAGGCTCTGAAAACCGAATGTCATCTCTTTCTGTGTTTGGGGGTCTGTCCTCAGTTGAAGGCCAATGAGCTGGTCTCTCCAGACCTTAAGCGTTTCCATCTCTAACCAGATTACATCAGAGTCGGTGGGGGCTAAAGTGCAGGGGCATCAGAGGCAGGGATGCAATTGGCAAATGGGAATTTGGCGTGGGTCAGGTCTGTGTGAGGATATTCAGGGAGTTTTTTTTAGCTCACTCTTATTCCCCCAAAGGTACTGCAAATAACAAATGACCTTCTCAGTGACTTGCTCCTTATTTTCAACAATAGTCTCAGCAATCATCGTCCCTGCCCTTTACTTACTCTTCATATCATATCAGATCATATTTTAACTTAATAAGAATACATTTTAGAGTCTACTTAAGGATTTTAGAAAAGATATCATGATGCCAAGGGGTCAAAAACATGTCTCCAATTACAGAGGAGCCAACTCTTGAGCTGAATTGAAAACTTAAGTTGGATTTTTGACTGTTTTGTTCCAAGGCATCACAGATCTTGAGGAGGTGTCCCAGTTCCTGAAGGAGGGGATAATCATGAAGGACTTCAGCCACGCCAACGTGCTCTCTCTGCTGGGTATCTGCCTGCCGCCCGAGGGGTCGCCGCTGGTGGTTCTGCCCTACATGAAGCACGGCGACCTGCGCAACTTCATCCGCGATGAGGCACACGTAAGGACAAGATAGACGCACGCTGTGGATCTCTGAATGAGTATCTTCAGTACATGCACACGTTATGGTGAAATTTCATCACTAGCGTCACAAGTTAAAATAGACGGCGTCAGCTGATAGTTGTGTTTTCTCCAGAACCCGACAGTGAAAGACCTGATGGGCTTCGGGCTGCAGGTGGCCAGAGGGATGGAGTATCTGGCCAGCAAGAAGTTTGTCCATCGAGACCTCGCCGCCAGAAACTGCATGTGAGTCCACGTTTATTCATTCAATATCAATATATGAGAGCGTTATAAATGGATCGACCTATAATATTATCAGATGGAGTAGAATTACATACAACGTGGAAGATGTGAGAAGGGAGCAGATCAGAGCACAGAGGGAAAACACAGCGTAGAATACAATACAACAGAAAGTAACTGTTCTTTCTCCTCACAGGTTGGATGAGAGCTACACAGTAAAGGTGGCAGACTTTGGTTTGGCCAGAGACGTTTACGATAAAGAATATTACAGCGTCCACAACAAGAGCGGAGTCAAGCTGCCGGTCAAATGGATGGCTCTGGAGAGTCTGCAGACACACAAGTTCACCACCAAGTCAGACGTGGTGAGGACTCTTCTGAGTTTGTCTTTACTAATGACTTCTGTTGTCATTACAACAAGATGACAGTGAGATAAGGAGTGATTTTTTTTTGTTGTTTTTTCCATAGTGGTCGTTTGGCGTGTTGCTATGGGAACTGATGACCCGCGGAGCCCCGCCATACTCTGATGTGAACTCCTTTGACATCACCGTGTTCCTCCTGCAGGGGAGGAGGCTGCTGCAGCCCGAGTTCTGCCCTGACGCCCTGTGAGTGCACACACACACACACACACACGCACAAACACGCACACACACACAAACACGCACACAGACACACACACACACACACACGCTGTATTTACAGAACTTTTCACCTGCCATTCACCTCCTCGAGCAGAGCGCCACGGCTCAGTTAGTGTGAGTGATATACTGTGGAACTGCACTTAAATGCATCATCAAGAGAGCGACCGAGTCTGAAATCAGGAGAGAGCAGCAGGGAGAAACAGTGAAGGTGAAAGAGCTGTATAAGCAGTGGAAGTCGTAAATAAAAAACACTTAAGTTCGGGGCCATCCATCATCGTCGGCCGAGAGTCTGAAACTCACTCGCAGCTCGTCGGTCTCCTCAGTCGAGCATTACATCTCATCACAGCTGCGGGTTCAAACTAAAGTTTCTTGCTTAACTTAATCACAAAACACAAAGCATTTTTCAGATGGCAATGAAACACCAGTAAAGTATTTATTTTGTATTTGTCTCTTTTTGTTGCTGAGCACTTGTTGCTATGGTAGTTAAGTGCTGCTGCTCCTAAAGATCTAACATCAGTCAGAACAGTGTTGGCAGTGCTGAGATGACCTTTTGTTTTTCGTGAATTTTCTTTGAACAAAGCGTGAGTTTTTTTTAGTTTCCTTTGGATCTGTTCACATCAGAGTTTGCCAGGAAAAACCTGAAGGCTTGCTGTGAGTCCGTGACTCCACCCATAGGTCTGAGAACAGGGGTTTTGAAGCTCAGAGTGGGCTGCTCCGCCGCCGCCATCTTGGCGGTGCCTGACTCTGTCTAATGCCAGGCTGATCAAAAAATGGGCAAAGAGGTGGAGCATAAATGTGACAAGCAAATGCTCACGTTGACATCGAAAGGCTGGGCATCCGGGCGTCTTGCTCAAAGTCTTACCCAAGCTAAATTGTTCTGGCTAATTAGCTAGTCAACAAGCTAAGCTAACAAGCTGGGTATGGTGAAGGCAGACACCGATACCTGCTAATTAGTGCTAACATGAATAAAATGATACTAGAATTTCACTCACCAGGGGCACAGACTTCCAAGTGTTCTGGTCTGAAACACCCTCAAATATGCATAACTTAAAGCCTTAATAAAATATAAACTGATGAGCCATATAAAAATTCACCCCCCATACAGTTGTCATGAAGGTGGACATTAACTATAGAGACTGAAACCGTTATTGTACCAGGCTGTAAACATGTTTATTTCTGCTGTAAAGTTGGACATTTTAACATGGGAGTCTATGGGGATTGACTCGCTGTTGGAGCCAGACTCTAGTGGCCTTTTGAGGAACTGCAGTTTTTGGCACTTGTGTGTTGGCTTCATTTTTCAGCCCCAGAGGTTGCTGCTTGTTTGTACTTGGGACTATTTCAGGTGAACTCACTGGTTGTTCTGAACTGAACTTCAGACTCTAGAAACTTTAGAAAAACAATGTCACATCAAATCACAGCAAAGTATTTCAGTATCAGTAAAATGCACACATCAAGTCATTTATTTTACAGTGTCTGAATTGTCTTTATCCATTTAACTCTGACCCACTGGTCCTGTAAAATAAAGGCCAAGTGTGATCTCACTCAGTACAGATAACATCATGAGGTACGCTGCATTTGTGTAGTGTGTGTGTGTGTATGTGTGTGTGTGTGGAAATAAGAGGGGAGTGGGAAATGTTCAGGTGAGGGTGGGAGGGAGGCTGAGGCCCGAAGTTCCCAAGCTGTAAATTAAACAGAGACATCAGGAGGTGATGCACGTCTGCAAACATTCCCGCAATTCTTCACTCCTGATCGTTCACAGGGCGCTGTGGTGATAGCAGTCGCTGGCAGATAGTTTGGAAGTGTGATAATGGGGCTGTTTTTCTTAATTTTTAACAATGATGGAGTCGCTCTGCCAAGTTAGAGACAAAAAAGGGTGATATCAGATACGGCTTCTAACAGTTTAGTTGCACAATGATAAAACATGAGGCCCCTCTGACAGCTAATGTGCAAGCAAAACTTATCTGTCAGTGCTGTTAAAACAATTATCAGACCTTTTCGTGTCATATACACAAAACCTGTGAGGGAGGAATGACTTATAGTAGATTTCGAGGCTACCTAGTGATGAAATTAACCATAAAAAGCTGCTGTAGCGCTTTGGAATGAAAGGAGAAAAAAAAAGTACAAAACATAAAGTTCAAATGGTGGCTAATAGAAGATATACTGTTTTAAGAAAAAACTCTAAAAGGGGAGAGGAGAAGCAGAACCTTATGGTGCTACAGGAGTCTAAAACAAAAAATAGAAGACATGTTATAAAATACAAAAATGTCAAGAAAATGTAAGAAAATTGTGACAAATGTCAACACAAGTTCCCACACTCCCAAGGTAACGCCAAAGATTTGAGAAGCAGGAAGAACTAAATGTTTTGCATTTTTTTGTAAGAAAAGACTTAAAGGAGCTATTTGTAAGTTTTGCTATTGCTACATAGCTAACGTTAGCATTAGCAGCTGTTTATAGTCTAGAAGCAAAGCTGCAACTTCATCGTCTAACTTCATTGCTCAACCTACAAGCTGTTTCCAGCAGTGGAAAGAAACATCAGTGTTAGCTAACACTTCTTATCTTCCACTGAAGTTAGCACGCTAACCAGCTAGCCCTGGCCCATCTCGTCGCTCTCTGACTTTGTCTTGTAAACGCAACGATGGCCAAAGCTCTATCACTATCACCTGCTCCCGGCAAGAAACCATGTTCGTGCAGCAGAGAAAACTTACAAATAGCCCCTTGGCTACACCACAAAACTCCATGCTAGCACTTACTTAGCCTGTTGCTTAGCTCTCTGAACACGTTTCTAGTTGTTTGTTTGAGGATTTTATTTATGATGCACTCCCAGTTTATTGGTGACATCTAGCTGTTGTGACTGTGTCGAGATTGAAAACACATGTGCCATCTGAATTTAATGTAATGTAAAGGATTTGGAGCAATTGCTATTATTTTGGAATTGAAACCACAATAGTTGTAGCTGAGCACTGAAGCCCCTGTTTCCTCCTCTGATGTTTCTCCTGCCTGACTCCTCTCCTCTCTCCTCTCCTCCAGCTACACCGTGATGATCGAGTGCTGGCATCCGAAGCCGGAACGCCGGCCCTCTTTCTCCGAGCTGGTGTCGCGCATCTCCGCCATTTTCTCCAGCTTCAGCGGGGAGCACTACGTCCTGCTCAACACCACCTACGTCAACATCGACAAGATGAGCCCTTACCCATCGCTCCTCGCCTCCACTTCTTCCTCCACCAACAATACTGCTTCCTCCTCGTCTTCCACATCCGACCCTTTGACCTCCACGTCCCTGCCATCCCAGTCCCCCTTCTTTTGCCACGTGGAGCGAGACTGCTGCACCTGAGAGAGGAAAACGGACAGAAGAAGAATGGGTTGGTGGATAAAAGACTCAGAAATGGAGAAAAAGAGCGAGGAAGAAAGCAGTGAGGTGACGAAGAACTACTGTATGTACTTGCCAAACACTGGACACTGTATGCTGAGGAAAAACACAGACAGTTTTGGAGCTTTGACTGTTCACTCAATGTACATAGATCCTCGACCTTTGACCTTCTCAAGCATCGCCGAACGACAGGAGCCTCCGTGAACTATAGGGGCTGACATTATCGACTTCGCCGACCATTCTGACCTTTCATTGACCCCAGGGAGGGGGAGGTCAGCCTTCCTGCGTCTTCTACAAGACAATTACAAGGCACAGGAACGCCTCCTCGAAGATTTCCAGCGGACAAAGCCACTGTCACAGAAGCACATTTGTCAAACACCCAAAAAAAAAAAAAACAAACCGCATTGACTGCTGTAGCCACACAGGGAGAGGATAGATATCACGATCCTGCTCTCGTCTGGGTGGTACGTGCATCGATACGCGGATGTGGCTCAGACCTTTTCGCTGTCACTAATGTGAATGTTCGACAAATGGCCATGTATTGTGTCGTTTTCACACCTCCACACACTATAAACTAGACTACATGTCACCCTCATATGCCTGACAGACAATGGGGCTGCTGTGATAGATTTTGCTGCCTGAGGTGAGTAAACCAAGGCGTGCTGGAGATAACAGGGGAACGGCAGTAGATGAGGGTGTAAGGTGGGATGTGTTAAAAAAATAAAATTAAAAAAAATGCTGCCTGTGTGCAGTTCACTGGATGCTTTATTTGTATGATTATCTTTGGGCAATTAGCTTTTAATGTGCTTGGTAAAGAAAAAAGAAAAAAACGTTATAAACGTATGTTCATTTTCCTTTTTATTATTGTTTTTTAAACCTGAAACATCCTGTCATTATAAAACACTACGACTCTGACAGCATGAACACGCTCGAAAGCTTCAGGGTTTTTCTCGGAAAGAAGAAGGAGAACAAATGAGAATCATGTTGTTTTTATGTCGTTGGTTGATGGATTGTCTAAGTCTCTTACTGTTTCTCAAATCTATGTCCGTTTTTGTATGACTCACCTTTTTATTGACAGAGAATATGCTCTACCTGACAAAATGATTACACCTACACAAAGGACATGAGGGCTCGCAGCCAGGAGGTTTTTTAACTCATGTTTGGTTCATTTAACCAGAGACATAAAAGCTCTTTTATCCTCAGTTAAATAACTTGTGGGCAAAATTTAGACAGAGAGCTTCAAGTAAAACTTTCATCTCGAAGGTTCCCTGTGTTCATACAGCTTCAAACCCAGGAGTGTGTTATCATGCGACCATCTGTGACAGCTGTATATCACTGTATCTTTATGACGACTGCACGTTCAGTCATCATGAAGAAATGCTCTATTGTTAAATGACCATATCAGGGTGTCTTCCAAAATATGTACAATTTACTCTTTTGTTCACCATTTTAAAAAGCATGTTATATTGTTCTTTTCCAACCCTTTCAGGCAGCCATTGTCTTCCATTCATTTTTAGAAGAATGTAAAAATCGTTTAGCAGATTGTTGAAACTTTCTTGAGGCGTGTAATCCATCACATATATCTGTTAATGTTGTCTGCATTGTGTTTAAAGCAGTTAAAGGAGCTATTTGTAAGTTTCGCTATTGCAACAATGCTAACGTTAGCATTAACAGCTGTTTACTTACCAGTCTAGAAGAAAAGTTGCGAGTTCAGCATCAAACTTCATTCCTTTACTAGCCATGAGCTGTTTCCAGCTGTGGAAAGCAACAGCAACGTTAACACTTGTCTCTTATCATGTCTTTTCGCCTACTGAAGTTAGCACGCTAACCAGCTAGCTCGTCACTTTCCAATAGCAACTCACAGTAGCCTCCAATCTGCCCTGAAGACGTAGAGCTGCTGAGATGGCGTATTATAACCTCTTGTCTTGTAAATTCAACAATGGTTGAAGCTGTTTGTCAAGCGACAATCATCACAACCCGCTCCCAGCAAAAAACCAGAAGAGAAAACTTATAAAAAGCCCCTTTAAAGTGTGTGCTGTAACATTGGGTTGTGCCAATTGATGATCGTATGGATTATTGACTCCTGAAGGGACAGTCAGCAGTTGGTAATGTTTCTGCTAATATTAAGAAGATTTATTTTGGAGGAGGGACTGAATTACAACAGTCTGCTGTAGTGATCCACCAATAATTTACTAAATATGTGTTTAGTAACTTGTTATTATTTACATGCTAACTGCATAATAGAAAAAACACCAAGGTCGGCCTCCTCCAGCTCATTGTGTAATTGTGATAAACTCTGATGCAATTCAAGCAAGTGTCAAGAATCTGCTTAAAGATTTTTAACATTGTAAAGAAATGATTGGAAATTAATGGCTGCCTGGAACAATAGAATAAAAGGCATCAAATTGTGTAAAACACAGCAGCCTGATTTAAAGAAGTCTGTTAGCTGTGACATAAAGTAAACATTATGTGTTGTAAATGGGCTAGAAATGCAAAATACTGTGTGTTCAATGCCCCTAATGTCTTTGCTTTGTGTAGCAGATTGTGTTTTTTTTTTTTTATCTGAATGGCTGCTGATGTGACTGGGCCATTGACGGACAGGTATGAATGTTTGCTATGACAAGAAAATTGCTGTACTATATTTTTGTATCGATAATGAGCCTCTTGTTTAAATGAAATCTGGTCCAATGTATGGGAAGACTGGTGGCGAGTTGAACAGGCGCCACGGAGAAATGAACAAAGCCACTTAATCAATCTGTTGTTTTCGAGACGAATCACTGCCATGTTGTAAATAAATAGAAGAGGGACTGTGGGGATCTGTGTGGGTCTGTCTGCAGCACGCAAAGCTGCACATCTGACTGATGAACATGTGGGCTGTGTGCTCATTTAGCTTCTGATCATTACTGCTAGAAAACAGTGAAGAGTTGAAGAAACTTGAGCAGCCTCACACCGGACACAACACTCAAAAGACTGCTGTCACTTTGATCATGTGATTCTCCACGACGTTGTCTGTGCTTAACACTGTCTGTTCTGTGTGTGTGTGCATGTGTGCGTCTGTGTGTGTGTGTGTGTGTGTGTGTGTGTGTGTGTGTGTGTGTATGATTTTGCTGTCTGTTAAAAAAAAATCCTGAAGGTACATGTTCCTATGTAATGTCTAATGAACTTTGTCAGTGTAATAAAGCTATACTATCAGAGTAAACTCCTGTGTCCGCACATCCTTTGTCAACAGGACAAACAGCTGTAACAGCTGTGCCGATGTGTTTTATTGAACAGACTTGTCTCTGAGGCAAGACCATATACAACTGTAATTACAAGTTCCTGCATCATACTTTCCATATGGTCAGGGCTGTGCAATAAAGTGCAGTTGACACTTTGCGTCACCTTCACACTGAACATCAAGTTCAGAAACCCTTGTGTGTAGGTTTTAAGAGAAAGATAGTCCATCATTTGGCCTCGCACTCAGTCAACACACTCCAGACTTGCACAACATTCTTGGTACCCACTCACTTGCCTTTTGTGTCTGCCTTTGTTCACCCTTTTTTCGTTCCCATTGGTTGTTGGTGACCTCTGACCCTTCACCTCTAGGCCGCCCCCTCCCCTTGTCTCGACCCCTGTAAGTCCTGTGGTCTAGACTTTCTCCTTCCCCCTGTCTGACTGAGTCGTGACCGTGGCTCTCAGGACAGGCCGCCCTTTCACAGTTGCTTGGCAACTCAGAAGTTTTGAGAAACGAGTAATATCAAGCTTTTACACTATATTTTAATACCTTTTTTACTCTTGAAAGACCAAAGTCTGCATGGAGGTCAAGCTCTCAGAGTGTTTTATGGTGCTACATAATGAATCTTTAAGAAAAAATGCATTTTTCACATTGTGTGCCATTAAGCCACATGGTTGCTTTAGGCAAGAAAGTAAAATGCCTTAAAGCACAAATCTAAATTCTATCATATCAGCATTAATTTGACATTGCAGGATATTGGTGTTTAAAAGTGAATACATTTGCTTCTATGCATTAAGTTTTTTTTGTGGACTTTACTTAACGTTCTGGGGAAAAACATACAAGTGCTATAAGACATCATTAGATGTTTAGACAAATCACAGCATGTAAGAAAGAAGAGAAGAAAAGCAGGAATCACAGCAAGTGTTTAATCATCTTGGTTGAACTTAGGGATTACAAGAAACTCCACTGAATAAAATCAAAACATTGTCTTGTAATGCCTGCAGCAACATAAAAGGTGTGGCCCCAAGTATCTCCTTAGAGAAGGTACAAGGTAAATCAACAAGTAAGCAGTATAATCCCTTATGCTTGTATCCCTCTCTGTGTTTATTTAAACCAATGATAAGCATATAGGCTTTATTAAGTTCCTAATATTAGTATCTCCGATTATCATTAGAAGCCATTAAATCATGCAGCAGTTTTACTAAATGCAATAGGACCAAAAATTTATTTTATATCTGTTCTAAAATCACAAATTTCTGTAAAGGGGTTTACAAGAAGCAGAGCCCAATGTGCTGATTGGTCAGCTTGCCAACTACCATGGCAACGATAAGTTCCGCGTGTGTATAAACAAACGGTTGTGGCGTCTTCGGCTGGTTCTGCCTTATCGTTTTGAGCAAGAGTCCGATCCTGAATCAGAATATGACAGACCCCGTCCACCTCCACGAGCTGAACTGGAGAAGAAAACAAGCGTACCCACTGTCAGGCAGCCGGAAGGAGGAAGAAATATGAAGAGCACTGCGAATCAAGATGCTGAACAGAATTCGGACGACAATATTCATAACTTTGAGTACTTTTATGAGAAACCCTTTTGATTTTTTTGATTTTTTTTTTATCCGTGGACACTTCCGGACTAAAGGAATATAAGTCCGGAACAGACAGACAGGTAGGGAGTCTCCACCGCTTCACCTCCTGCTGGTTTACGATGCCGTTAAATAAGAATTAAATAAACTTAGCATAGTTAATGAAAAATGAACTCAGCGGTGACACTGTGGATAATTTATCTGAGCTAACGAGGTACAGCGTGTCAATACTGACAAACGTTTAATCATGTATATCAATATATATTTGCTGCTTTACTAACACTAAAGGGTCGCGGTAACGCGGTTAACATCACAAATCCACAATAACAATGCAGACGGACCGGCTGTGAGCCTGAGACCCCTGTTCGGCCACATTAAGTGTGAATTAAAGTTAAAGTTAAAACAGTTGTTAAAATGAAACGTCTAACTGCGTGTTTAGAGAAGCAGTCCTCCTTGAAGTGCGGCCTCACACTATAATGTTGGGAGTTAGTAGATTTCTGCAGGCTCTCGAAAACACAGTCTTTTTCGTCATGGCTACAAAACTAAAGAAAAGTCTTTATTATAAGTAGTTATGTTCTGTGCCTTTTGTGGGGTCCGTGCCAAGTTTGC